TGTGGGCTGACTTTTGTTTGGACAATATGGCTTCATCTCAACTTGTGAACAGAACCTGAATTGTCTGTCATTAGAGCCATGAAATATTGGCTCTGGGAAGGTTACATGTATTTTACCCTGGAATTTATTTTACTATGAGATATAGAACTAAAGCTGTTGCTAAATTCTGTTATAGATTTGTGTACTGATGGCCTATTAGAGAAACTGAAAACCACATTAAGTTATAAACATGCTCATTAGGAGGCTGATAAACAGATTTTAAAATAAAGTGAATGTCTAACTTAGAATGGTCACTCTCTACCTTTCTTTTCTCAGATGTTCTAGGATCTGAGAAATCTACACACTCTAAAGAGATGCTTCTATTCATACAAGTAGGTGGACATTTATGGAGGGCAGATGGCAAATGTCACCGAAACAGCTACTATAGAGTATAGTGAACCGAGGGTAAAGCTTATCCACAGAACTTATCACACTGTGTGGAAATTGCTTACTTTGTCTTCCTCACTAGGCTGCAAGCTCCATGAGGACAGAGACCTTGTGTGTCTGGTTCACAGCTGGATGCCTAATATACAGTATGCACTCAATAAACACTAACTGGCTGATTGAATATAGAGACACCATAATTCAAAGTCTAGTCATGCATTTTAGAAATGTAAGAACTCAGTGTCATCCATTTATCTAAGGATGACTGGGGTCTACTAATTAACCTTACAAGTACCTGACTGAATAAACCAAAATGCTAAATGGGAACTATTAGCTAGAATAACAATTGATGTTTCATATCTGAATATGGTATCGTTTACTCATCAACTAGGTCATTAAACACTAGAGCAGAAGGTGCTTTGTGAGCAGAGAATTAAAGTACATGGAAGTAGAAGATCTTATAGGAATTAAAGTTACAGTGGACTGATCCTTGGCCTAAAGATCTCTGCGTTTAAACAACAGATCATATTTTACTTTTTATTTATTTTTTATTTTTAAAAATTTATTTTTTGAGGTAACAATGGTTTATAATATTATCATTTGACATCTGTATATACTTCATCCTGCTCACCACCAAAAGTCTAGTTTTCATCTGTCACCATACAATTGATCCCTTTACCTGTTTCACTCTCTCTCCACCCTGATCTGTTGTCTGCCTCTATGAGTTTGTTTTTGCTTTTTGTGTGCTCATTTGTTTTGGTTTGGTTTTGTATTCCACATATAAGTAAACCCATACAGTATCTTTTTCTGTCTGACATATTTTATTTAGCATAATATCTTCAAGGTCCATCCATGTTGTCACAAATGGCAGGATTTCACCTTTTTTATGGCTGAATAGAATTCCATTGTGGGTGTCAATGGATGCTTAGGTTGTTTCCATATCTTGCCTATTGTAAATAATGCTGCAATGAACATGGGGGTGCAATAAATAACAGGTCATCTCTCAGAATCAAATCACCACTTCAGATCAGTGCCGGCAAAGTCTTATAAGCCAGCCATTTTTGCTTTTTCAATACTCTATATTAGTTACTAAAAGTTCTTTACCCAAATTCCAACATGTGTGTGGGGGTGAGGGTTTTATCCCCATACCACTAAGCAATTCTCAAACACCAGGTGGGTGTCCTATAATTCAACTCGATTCTGACACTATCTACCTGGAGATAGCATCAAATTCCACAGGTTAAGGGCTCAGACCTACAAGACTGCCACACCCCTTCAGACAACATCAAAAGTCCATGTTGTTACCTCTGCTTCTGGCAGAATGGCTATCGATCGGAAGTTTCAACATCCCCCTCCTTGGGTTCAATTAATTTGCTAGAGCAGCTCACAGAACTCAGAGAAACATTTTACTTACTAGATTACTGGTTTATTATAAAAGAATATAACTCAGGAACAACCAGATGGAAGAGATGCATAGAGCAAGGTATGGAGAAAGGGCACGGAGCTTCCATGCTCTCTGTCAGCACGCCACTCTCCCAGTACCTCCATGTATTCATGCTCTGAGGCCCATCCGTTTGGGTTTTTATGGAGGCTTCATTACATAGGCATGATTGATTAAATCACTGGCCATTGGAGACTGATGGAACCTCCAGCCCTTTCCCCTCCCTGGAGGTGGATTGGTGGGGTGGGCAGGACTGAAAGTTCCAATCCTCTAATCACATGGTTAGGTTCCCTGGCAACAGCTCCCATCCTTAGGTTCCCTCGATGCTTTCCAAAAGTTACCTCACTAACAAAGGACACCTTTATAGTTCTCAACACTTAGGAAATTCCAATGGTTTTAGGAGCTCTGTGCCAGAAATGGGACGAAGACCAAATATATGTTTCTTATCATAAAGCACAATATCACAGTTATCGATGGCAATTCTACCCTCAAAATATTACTATTATAATTTGCAAGGCTAAAGCCTATCTTTTTACTATTTACATTTTATTTATTTATTTATTTATTTAATGCAAAAAATATTTATTAAATAGAATGAAATGGGACCTAAAATTTTCTGAACAGAAACATTAATTACAGGATTATTTATCAGAGACAACTGAATATCTAACAATAAGGAATTTATAGACTAAACTGTGATACATCCATGTGATGAAATACCTTGCAACCATTAAAATGATATTTACAAAGACTTTTAATGATAAAAGGTTGAATAAATATATAGTAAAAAAACAATACATACTGATTCTGTGCTGAAAAGGGGAACCTGAAATGTGCTCCATTTATATAAAAAGCAATGATATGGAAACAACAAAGCATTGTTCTCTGGGAAAAATAAACATGAATAGAAAAATCATACACACATGATCATACAAGCATGATCTCAGCTTTGTAAAAAAGAAATAAATTCACAGAATGAGGGCCACAAAGGAATAACCCAACATGTCAACAGTAGTTATCACTTAGGGAAGAAATTACAGTTGAATATAAATTTCTTTATCATGCATTCATTTTTATAATCAGAAAAAATAGTCTTTTAAAATATTTCCATGAGTTTTCTAGAGACACCTAATTCAACCATACATAATACAATTTGAATCTTCTGAACTTCATGTTAATACAATTCACGTGGACTTAAGATGCTCAGCAAGGCAATAGCCAAGTTGTTAAATATAAATTAGCACTTGGGTAAGTGGTTTCGAATTTGATAGCTATAAACTGAACAGTTAGAAGTATTTAATATCCACTGTATCCTTGAAATTATTTTTTAAAACCTCTTACATTTTAATTTGTAGAATTCCAGATGTGATTTTAGAGTTCCTTTAAACTCATCAGCTATACATTTACACAGTTTTGGAGAAATATCTGCAGTTAATTTCATATTTTGTGAATTCTTATCTATGCTCCCTGAGGGCAGTGATGCCTTCTGACCTGACCCCCAGATTCTGGGGTCTTAGCTTTATCATTGTGGCCCGTAGCCCTGTATCTACCTATTACCACAAGCAGAAAGGGCAAGAAAGCCAGAAAGAACATTTTAGGGCATTGATTTTAAACTTCATTTTGGTATGAACCCCTATGAGAATTTAATGAAAGCTTCCATGACCTTCTTCCTAGAAAAATGCATATACACACAAATGTTGATATACTTTTTTGGCTGTTCCTGGATCCCCTAACACTTTATCATGGGTCCCAGGATAAATTTTCTTGCCTTAAGGGCATAACTGTGTACAATTTCAGCTAATGTAGTCCAGCTTGGCATTCATTGGGAGTCATGCCATTAGACTGACAGGGTGCCAAAGGTAAGGCCATCAATCAAAGAATGACTGAAGTGTTCTTATAGCAAACATTTAGTGGACTCTGTTTTATTGTGGGAAGGTCCTCCTTTATCAGCAACTGTAGGTGATAAAACTATCACATTAGCCAGCTACATCCACAGTACAGCAATCAGTCCTGGTATCTTTAGATGGAACAGATGATATGTTGGTAGCATCAACAACTAATGTATTATAGCAGTAATAACAGTGGTACTAAGAACTAATGTTTATTGAGCATTTATTATGTTCTATGCTTTACGTGAATTCATGTAATCTTTAAAACCACCCCAAGAGGTAATTATTATTTTCCTTATTTAAAAAAGGAGATAACAGAAGCTTTCTAACTATACATCTTGGAGACAAGGCCTAACACATATATGATAGATTGTTATTAATGGCATGTTCCCCTGAACACAATTTGACCTAGTAGTGTATTTATCAAAATCTATGTGATAATAAACCATAATAAAACGGACTCCACCATTATTTGTTGTAAGAACACTATGCTGACTAATACATTTCCTGGGGAGGGCTTTGATGGTTTTAAAAGAAGCACACCTCAAACCCAAAAATGTTTGTACTTCTTCCAAATATGAAGAATTACTGATCATCTACACTTTAAAGAGATAACATCAGCACTAACATTCTTAGACTATGAGACTCTCTTAAAACTTTCAGTTTTGGACTCACTTCAGAAAACTTAAGCATTCTTCATAAAAGACATGCGTTGGGGCAACTGCTGGAAATTTGTGGGGAAACTGCCATCCCTGCTCCCTGCCAGGGATCTGAATTGAAGTGGCTTCATCATACACTTTCAGCAAACTGAATGCCCTCAACCTCGTGGGAACTAAGCCCCCAGGCAGTGAAGTCAGGGTGTGGTGCACTTACATTCAAAACCCCCCTGTTTTTAACTTGCACAAGCACATTCCTGGCTGGAACCTGCCTCAGACTTTTCAAACACTCTTTTAACTAAAGCTGCAATTTGTACTCCACCCTCCTATTTCTCATAGCACTTCAGAGAAATTGGAATGTCACTGAGGCTGGAGGAAACAGAAACGTTCTGGAAATTATTCTAAAACTTTAATTTCTCAGGCAATTGAAAATCCTCAAGTAACTAGAAACTGTTGCTATTCTTAAATGCTAATTATTGGTAATGTTATAATTATTGGAACCTAGCTCAAGGATATATGTACAAATAAGTCTAATAAAAATATCATCTAAAAATAATAACATTGCTTCTAAGCAAAGGCAATTTTGCTTACAGTGAGGTCTTTGCAGTCTTTGGGTGCTAGGAGAGCCCGACTTTATTTTTTTCTGTAAAGCTTCATCAGAACCTTCTACAGCATCTTCAAGGCCTTGCTCAGAATCACCTGATTTTGATTTTTCTGCATCATTTATATTGGACTTGTCAAGATTTTCAGACATTCTCAATTAACTGTATTCAGTTTCCTAGGAAAGAAAAAAAAAAATGAACCAAAATATTCTAGCTCTGTCAGTAACTAGCAGTATGACTCTGGGCAAATTATTTAATCTCTTTGGGTTTCAGTTTTCTCATCTATAAAATAAATGGGCTTGTTAAAATCTTATCCAGCTATAATATTCCACTCAATGATTAAACAGATACCTGTAAAATGACACTTGCAATTTATCAACGTTATGAACCTATACATCAGATAGAAAGTAACAAGTATGAATACTTTTGTCCCACTCCTGAGTACCAACTCACAAGAACACAGGGCCTTAAATTGTTCAAAGAAAACACTATAAATTGCCTGCCTCTATTTTAATCAAAGAGTGATTCAGTTCTTAAATTCTTTACTTTCATTCCTGAGAGCTGATAGGAAAACTCTTTGGGAATAATGCTTTTAATTAAGCTTCCAAGTGTACATACTGGACTGAGAAGTTGGTTCCCTGATCCTATTATATGAATGATACCTGCGGATGACAGAAGGTAGAGTCTTATGAAGCATGCAAGAAAAATGCGTGTGGCAAATACTTTTATTAACTCCTTACCAGTCAGCAGGAAAAGATGGTGAGTAAAGCAGGAAGTTTCAAATAACCATAAATATGTGGTTGGGTGGGGTTATTCACTTTTTCACTTGCTGATTAGAATAGGAAAAACACTTAACATATTGGTTTGGGCCAGTTAATAAAGATCTGGAGTAGTAACCTCTTATTTACTGTAAAAGTTTTTGCCAAGTTGTGGTTTATTTTCCCCCTAGTTTTAGAGTTCTCTGTTCCTAAAGTGTTTTCAATTAAGGGAGACGAAAGACAATGTTTCTGCATTTACACTACAGAAAATAATTAGCATTTGTACTATTAGCACTTTAAGATCACAAAACAAGTTCATAAACACTAATTAGACTTAATTACACACCTGGAAGATAATAAAAGGATCAAAAGAAATGTCGACTGCTTTCAGGAGGTTTGGCAGACTCTCTTCTACACATTAGAGAAGAATCACTTGATGTCATTACCTGAAATTTCAGGTACCTCCATTAAAGAGAATGAAGTTACTGGAATTGACATTTTCAGGCCTGTATTTATTAATATGAAAGTTGCTTTAATGCAGATCCCCTTTACCTTCCAACAGCCCACTCCAGACACGCATCTCCTCTCTGTCATAAATCCTATCTGGCTCTGGGAATGCTCCAAGATCCAAAAGGTAACATTACCAGCATATTCTATGAGAAAGGACAAACAAAAACACTTCTAATTTTATCCTCTTCACCTAATGGGCATGAGCTCAGAAAGGATGAAGTCACTCATTCTGTGCAGTGAAGAGGAAAGGCAGGATTTCCAGGTCTCTAACACTCAGCGAAGTAAACTAACCCATCCTTTATGACCGGCTCAAAGTCCAAGCTCCTTCTCCCAGGACACTTTCCCAACCTCACCAGTACTTGTACCTTTCTCTGGACTCCTGTAGGAGTGGTTACTAGACATCTGGCATTCACCATTGCCTTGAACCCAATTCAAAATATGCTTAAATAGGAACAGAAAGATGAAAAGGCATGGTCTAGAGGGGGAGGCAAGACATGCTTATAAGAAACACAGTGAAATTTAAGCCTTAATGGCATTATGAGATCACTACAGGAAAACAGCAGAGGGAGAAACTAATTCTCCCTGGAAGGAGGTTGGGATAACCTTCCCAGAAAAGGTGACACGAGCTGGTCTTTTTTAAAAAGATAGGGTTTCACTTAATTAAAAAATGTCTGGAGGGGGAGAGGAAGTGAAAAGGGGAGCATTTTACTCAAAGAGTACAAGTGAAGACACAGGAAAATGAATAGAAGTAAAGAACAAGTGGCAAGTAATGAAGATGAAGAGACTGTAAAATTGCTAGTTTTTATTTTTAAAACACTCTTCACCTAGATTTGTAACTTAAGGGTCGAGACCAACCATATTCCCCAGATATGCTCCATATGTATATCCACCAAACGCATACCCACCAAGGATGGTTAACAGCTGTGTCATCTCTATGATGTCAGTGTATGTGGGAGGGATGGGCGTTGGTCTCAGACATACCTGGGTTCCAATTCTGGCTCTTTTCTAACAGTGTAAGTTCAATTTCCTCATCTGTAAAAGGCAGCTAACCTACCTCTTCGGTTTGGGGGAAATTTAAACGACAGAACATGCATAACAACAGATGGCACACAACGGGCTTCCCACGAATGGTAACTATAGTTACAGGGCTATAGGATGCAGCGAGGAGCCATTTAATTACTTACAGTGTGCTCATTCATTCAACAATCACCAACTCCCGCTATGCCCAAAAAGGGAACCGAGGTTAGGAGGGGCTCCTCGCACTTGCCGCGAAGACTGTATATCTGAGCTTCACGACGGGCCTAAGATGGACACAAGAGACTCCCCAGTAGAAAGGGTCGTTCAGCAAAAGGGGCTCTGTCCACCAACGCTGGGAATCACGTTTCCTGGCACTCAGCGCCACTCACTCCCAGACTCCAGATTCCGTTGTCAACAACTGTTTGGGCCGGCGAGGGAGTGGCCCAGCCAAGAGCAAGCGATGGAAGCGGGGCGCGCCTGGAGGAGGGCCTCGAGGGGTGGGACAAAGGCCGCGCTAAACCTCAACCCGCCCGTGTCCCTGTCTCTCCCTCGCTTCCACCCGACGTCACCGGGACCCGACCAGACGGTAAAGGGCGAAGAAATGCCAACGATTTCGACCTCGTGTTACCCATGCAGACCCCTTAGGGCTGCCAGCCTCTGCGTCCGCACCCCTCACCTGCCGCGGAGTCGGGCGTTCTCCCTCCTGCCGCTGGGGCGGGGAATCACGCGGGGCCAGCGCCGCGGCGGAGGCGGGGAGCGATGCGCGGCTCGCCGGGCCGTTCAGCCTCTGCCCCTCAGAGGCCACATCTCTCGCCGTCCTGCCCACCCGCCTCGGGTGGGTAGCAGCCACCGCTGCCGCTCCTCCGCGTTGAGAAGTGGAAGACAGCTCTAAACCGGGAGGCGCCCGCCCCACGTAGGGCGGCGCCATGTTTCCGTACGGAAAAGCCATGTACGGAAAGGAGGGAGGCGTGGCTCAGAGCTGGGAGGCGCCATGTTTCCGTACGGAAAAGCGGGAGGGGAGGCTCCCCGCCCGGCCAAGTGGGGGCCCAGTGGGCGGTGGCCCACGCAGGGCGGTGTCATGTTTCCGTTCGGAAAGGCGGGCGCAGAAGCCGGGAGCTCGCCACGGGGCGTCACGGCCGGATCCCGCGGCGGGAGAGGAACGCGAGGTGGAGGAGGTGCGGCGTCAGGCAAGTGAAGGAAAGGAGAGGTCGCTTAGTCGCAACCTCGTTGAAAGCCTTCCCCGCCCAGGTTTTCAAATTTAAACGTTACTTCACGTTTTGTAGCGGCACGTAGTTTCTTCTCCCCCCCTCATTTAGGCTGTTAAAAAAGTCATGCCGACCATCTGGATAGCCAAGCCTCATTTTAATGGCACAGACTAGGTTTGGTTTGGTGGGGGTCGTCTCTTAGATATATTTAAGGGGCTGCTACACTTTGTCGATAGGAAGAGCGAGACTTTAGTCTGGAAAAGACGGAAGGCAAGGAGAAAAACGGTCCCCATGAGGGTTCAGTTCGGGTTCATAAACACAGTGAGCTCTGCATGCATTTTATGGCCCATCCGTGTTCTGGAAAGGAAAAGGAGTGTCACGTTAAGACGAGCCTTTTTTGGAGCCTCATCTCCCTCCGTACCAGGTAGTGAGGGCCATCAGTATGGGCCGGACGACTAGTTGATGCTGCAAGAAAACCATGCTCTTCTCAGTTTATAGCAGTAAGATAGCAAACGACAAGAATAGAATTAGGTTTTGTGCCTAGTCTTAAAAAAATAAAAGGTACATGACTCTTAACGGTTCATTTGTAAAAATGCGTTAAGACAGGAGCATAAGTCATGCACGAGTATGCCTTAAACAAAATGAAGGTAATAATTGTCTCCTACCTGTAGCTTATATACTTGTTATGTTTAAATAACTAGAAGAAGATGGAGTGGAATTCGTGCTTTCAAACACTACTAAATAGATCACATGTGGGCAGTTACTCCTAAAATATTGAAGGCTGCGTGCAATACAACACCCTCAAGCTATTCACTAACATATTATTTTTCCTTAAAGACACACACACACCAAGTCCGCAGATGAGGATTCACTTTAAGAGGGGGGGGGGGAAGCCTTAAAATCAGTGGTTTTCAACCCTTATTACACCTTAGAATCTTCTGGGGGAGGGGAGGGATTTTAAAACTATCATCTGAAACTCTTGATGGGTGATGCCAGGCAAAAATTGTTAAGCTTCCCAAGTGATTCTAAGGTACAGCCAGACTAGAACCACCTCCCTAGCAAGATCTTTCCCCTACCCCCAGGATCCTAGTGAGAGTGTCCCTACCTTCTTCCTTGGATTAAGATGAACAATTTTTGCACGTGGAGAAGACACTGTGACAATACCAAAACCACTATTTGACTTGGAATGGCTTACTGACAATCTTTTGATGTATTTTGAATTGTTTCCTTTAAATATTAAAAACATGTTGACACATGTTCCAGTTTGATTTTTGCCTGCAAGGACTGGAAACTCAAATTACCTCAAGGTAAAAGGTGTTAGTTCACTGCAAGGCTACGTAGTGTTTGGGAGGAGAAAGCTTGGCAGCTGCTCTAGAGATTGGTCCTATATCATCTCCCAGGTCACACAGATCTCTCATCACATCTCTGCTTCTTGCTGCAGCCTACTTCACTCCCTTCTCTACAGACTGGTTTCTCTATTTTCGTAGTTGTTGCTCCCTCACAATTTAGAGTTTTCTATATAGAATTTGATTAGCCAAGCTGACTTTTGTGCAAAGTCAGTCTCATTCACCTACAGGTAAGCTGTCTTTATTTATCTATTTATTTATTTACTTTTAAATTTTTTATTGCTAGTTTCCAGTGTACAGAACAATGCAAGTTATCCTTTTCACCTTCCTGTTGGGGTCCTGTCTCGGTGTTCCAGTGAACAGTACCTGAAGTGGGGGGCGAGGTTTAAGGAAAAAAAGAGACAAAGAGATAAAGAGGGTCCGGGAGGACTGGAAGCATTCTTAGCAACCAGCCCCGAGTTTATTTTTCCTCCCCATTATATACCCCCAGAGTACATGTAACACAGAAGGGATGAATATGCATAACCTCATTAAAAGTATATCATTAGTTACCAACTAGAAACCTGAAGGTCAGTGGAAAATTTAGAGGGTCAGTTTCCCAGGAAACCATCTTCCCCAAAGCCAAACAGCCCTCTATCTTCGTGTGTCTTCTAAGAAACTGGCTTTCTCACCACATGCCTCAAGGTTAAGTAAGCATCCTCCAGGTGCAGAAAGGAGCAAGAAGCAAAACAAGTTATACTACAGTAAAGCCAGCCTGCATGGCTCCCAACACCCTCCCAAAGTAACAACCCCCCTCCACCCATCTACTGCTCTCCCACCCCCGATATAATGCTTATCTATTACAATTCCATTGATTCCATTTCCTCTCTACTCCATGTCCCGTGACTATATGTATATATAATTATAGTTGACATACAATATTATTCAACATCAGCTCAGAAATACAGTATGGTGGTCAGGCCTCTACACCGACTATGAAGTGGTCTCCTCCACCAGACATGAGTCCATCTGGCCCCCTAAGAAATATTTACAACATTATTGATTATATTCCCCAGACTGTCTTGTCTATCCCTGAGGCCATATTGTAATTACCAATTTGTATTATCTCATCCCTTCCCCTTCTCCTTCATCCCCGCCCCCTCCCAACTAGCAACCCTGTTTTTCCTCTGTGTCTCAGACTATCTCCATCCACGTTTCCCATCCATTCAGTTCCTTAGAATCCACGTATAAGTGAGATCATATATTTTTCTTTCTCTGACTGACTTATTTCACTTAGCATAATGTTCTCTAGTTCCATCCATATTGTTGCAAATGGTACTATTTCCTTCTTTATAGCTGAGTAATACTCCATTGTGTAAATGTACCAAAGTTTCTTAATCCAGTCGTCTCAGGTAAGCTGTCTTTAGACCAGGGCTTAGCCCTGGTCTCCTCAGGTAGGTTGCTGGTGAGGCTCACAATCACCTAGGCATGAAGTGTGCAAGAAGGGATGGGTTCCCAAGAGAGCATCATGGATGAGTGAAGGAGGGCACACAGTAAACAAGTTGACAATTCTAGTGATACAGGAGGGTGTCCCAAGGCATTCAGAATAGCAACTGGACCTGCAGTTTAAAACTTGGACAGTGTTTGCAGTAGACATGACCAATTTTTCTTAAAAGTTTATTCTGTGCTTATGAAGTTCAAGGTAAACTGTGTTTTTACTAGATTTTCCATAAAATTATCTTTCTACGAACATAACTAGACACTTCTGCCTTCCCCTGAAGGAGCGGTGTTAGTTTTGGTTTCCAAATCATTCTATATGATGATATGCAAAATAAAGGTTCCAAATCAGATAGTACAGTTTCTCTGCCAACTGTGGTCTCACCACTTTCAGTAGTTTGTTTCTAAAAACTTGCTCACACTTAAATCATGAACTATCTTCTCTCTTATGCCTCATTGCTGAGAGATTTTGTGGTTGTTTTTAATGTTTTAGCCATACATACTGTAATTTTACAGGTGAAGTGATATGATGTCTGAAAATTGCTTGGGTGGTAGTAAGAAATGGGTTGGGGTATAGATGAAACAAGATTGGCCATGAGTTGACAGTTGCTGAAACTGGGTAAGTAGTGGGAGTTCATTATTCTATTCTCCCCATTTATATGTATGTTTGAAATTTTCCACAGTAAGCTTTAAAAGATATTGAAGTCTTCAAAAGCATTAGGAAAGTTCAATTTCTAACTTGCCTACAGTTTATAGTAATTAGGAAATTCACTAAATCATATCTTATTTTTTTTTAAGATTTTATCGGGGAATTGGGAGAGGGGAACAGACAAGTTGCTGTCCTTTTGTTCTTCAGTCTAGTTGTGGAGGACGTCGCTTCACTGGCCCATGTTGGTGTTATCATTGCGCTCTTCCCTGGTGAGGCAGATCGGTCGCCGGCCAATGGACGGCTGCTCATGGTAGCTGTTGGCCACTCATGCTGGCTGCCAGCCACTCACGGTAGCTCACGGCAGCCCACTGCAGCCTACGCCGTCGCCAGTGACTCACAGCAGCCCAGCTACAGGTTGAGCTGTTGTTCACCATCTTAGCTGTAAAGGGCACAGCGTCACTGGCCCCCATGTGGGATCCGAACCGGGGCCCTGCTGCTCAGACCTGGAGTCCCAAGCCAACTCTTAACCAATGCGCCACTTGGCCAGCCCCATATCTTCTATCTTTAAGGAGTACCTTCCAAAGTACAAACCATACTCTTATCAACTTTTAATTATGGACATCCTTACTGTTTTAATATTTTCTCATGTAAACACTGCAATGTCATATCATTTAAATTCCTATGATGTTCTATAAAGTATTTGGTACAATAATTATAAATCAGCTCACAAATAGCAGCAATACACCATCCAGTAACTCAGTTCCACACAAAAGGTCATACAAAAAATTTTATTAAGTACAGTTTCATATTTAGAAGAACATTCAAGATTACAAATGTGATTGGATCTTTAGGATACATAATTTATTCTTAAAATACACAAGTTATATACAGACATTAGAAACTCATTCTCCAAAATACTCAATAAAGATATTTGGGTGACATTTATAGAACTGACCTAGCAATTTTTTTTTCTCTTTGGCAGACAGTTTTGAAT